GAGAGAGAGAGAGAGAGAGAGAGAGAGAGAGAGAGAGAGAGGAAGAGAGAGAGAGAGAGAGAGATTGAGCAGAGCATGGAATTTTGAAGCCTCAAAGCCCACCCCTAGTGACACACTTCCTTCAGCAAGGCCACACACACCTCCTAATTTTTTTCAAATAGTCCCACTCCCTGTTGACTAAGCATTCAAATACATGAGCCTATGGGGGCCATTCTTATTCAAACCACCACATTCGCCCTTGTAAAAGATTTCAGAGTTTATGCTTTTGTCGATAGTATGAGACCTCTGAAGTCAGGAAGACTTGGTTCCAGTCCTGCGTGACGTTGAACAAGTCACTCAATTTCTCTAAACCTTTGAGTCTCCTTATGCAAAATAGTTGTTGACATCAGTCTTGGGGCGTTGAGACGGTCATAAAGTGAGGTAAGGGGACTCCAGCAGTCTCAGCAGGGTGGAAGGTGCCATGGTATGTTTTAATCGCTCCAGAGAAGTCACTTCATTTCTTTTGTCCTTAGTGTCTGTTGATATCATCACGAGGTCCTGCTTACCAGCCTCTATGCTTTGTACTCTCCATGATAATCTAAAATCGAGACTCATTCTCATGACCAAGAAGTCCCTAACATCTGCAGGCATACAGTACCCAGCTCCGTCTCCCACACCTGTGCTCAGCCATTCTGACTTCCTTAGTGTTCCTGGATACACCGGGCATGCTATCACCTCGAGACCGGTGTGCTTTACACAAACCCATGCCTGTAAACTGAGGTAGGATTTTAACCCCTTGCCTCACAAGTTCTGCTTTAATGGGACTGATAGGCTCGTTAAGAAGAAACAAAAATTGTTTGCAGAGTACTCAGCCTCTTCAAAGTGACTGTGAGTTACAACTCATGCTGAGCTGACTGGATGAGCCGTTTCACCATTTTTGGTATTTTTCTGACGATCCTTGACTTTCCCAAAGACTTGTATCACGGGCATCCTAACTTTCTTCAAGCTTTTACTCCTCAGAATCCTATTTTAGCCCTAACATCCAGCCCCACCACCAGCAATCTCATGTCTCTTTCATGTTTTCTTAGCATCCTATGTTACTTATTGAGTTTCCCAACTTGAAAGTAAGCTCCATAAACTTTGGGGAGCATTTGTTTTGCTCACTCTTTTATACTTAGTATGTGTTAAATTCACATTTCTTGAGCAAATGATCTGAATGAGTTAAAGCAATTTTAGTAACAAATATTTATATTGTGTTTGTGAATGCTGGCAATAGTCCTCAGATATATATTTTACTATAAATGTGTTTTAATTCTCATAATAATCCCATAGCAATGCGGAGCATGAAAATAGGCTAAAAAGCGTACTTCACGGAAAGTCAGTAGTAAAGATAATTATACTTCAAAGATGATGGTGAGAAGAGAGGTTAGAGGAACTTTTCCGATGTCACACGGCTCATCCAGAGCGAAGCCAATCCTCTATCCCAAGAACACTGTTCCAGGATGAACAGTAGCATTAAGAGCAATGGACATGCGCTGAAGCACTCCTGGCAAGCACAGAGATGAGAACTCGGGTTTTCTCCCAAACCCCCCAGGATTGCCCTGTTAGGCACAGACTATTGGGAACAAATAAAGAAGGCTGAAGTTTAGCAGGTCTCAACATCTACAGTTGTTATATTAGTCAGGGTTCTCAAAAGGAACTAATATAATCAATACATACTTATGTGTATGTGTGTGCGTACACACACACACACACACACACACACACACACACACACACACACTGGGCTGACTTATAGGCTGTGGTCTTAGTAGTCCAAAATGGCCATCTCCTGACTGGAAGGCCAAAGATCTGGCAGTTGTTCAATCTATATGTCTCAGCAGTCCCAATCTGGTGTAGAGTCCTGGGAATTCCTAGCTAACCGCCATTCTTCAGTCTATGCTGGGTCCTGAAGAAGGAGGTTCTTACACCAGTGGAGGGATGCCTCAGCCACAGGGTGGATAAACTTGCCAGTGAGAGCGAGGGCGAGCAGGCGAAAGCAAACGTTTCTTTTTCCCATGTGCTCTTATATAGGCTGCCACCAGAATGTGTGGCCAAGATTTAGGGTTGGTCTTCTCTCCTTAAATGATCCAATAAGGGAAATCACTCACACACATGCCCAGGTGCTCGGGTTCTAGTTGAGTCCAGGTGTAGTCAAGATGACAACCAAGATCAGCCATCATGAGTTGTAGAACCCAAACCCAGCACCCTCAATCATGGGGCCTGTACAGCTCAGATGAGAAGCCCGGAAGAGGAGGAGATTTCCTGATGGGACGATCTGAACCTGCAGGAAGAAAATGCTGTTGCTTTCAGTGGTGGTAGAAGTGGTAGCAGAGGGAGAGGAGTGAAGGGAGGAGGAGGAGGAAGAGGAGGAGGAGGAAGAGGAGGAGGAGGAGGCAGGGAAAGAGAGTTCTCCCCTTCATCCCAATTAACATTTTATCTGCACTCTTCTCTCTTGTCTACGCATCTCACATCTCTCAGCCTTGATTGGTGTACTCTGGTTTTCTGTTTGCTTTTGGTTACAGCATGTTTGGCAGACTTGTGGCTTTTCATTTTGTTTTGTAGAGTTGATGCTGGAGACATATTCAGTAATATGCCTCCTCGGGCATCATATCTTCTATGCTAAAAGTGGAACAGTACGAAGAAAATTAGCATGGTCGCTGTGGAAATGGCTTGCGGATTTGTGAAGTGACCTGTATTTTGTGAAGTTCTTACAAAGACTGTCTGCTAAAAAATGATCCCAAGCAGAAACTAGCCTCAAGAACCAACAAATGGGATTGTGTAAAATTAAAAAAAGTTTCTACAAAGCAAAAGAAACTATCAGCCTGGCTGTTTAGGTAGCAGTTTCCTCTGATGTTGAAGCCTTCCATCTTGGAAGGAAACTTCTTAAGATGTAGGCTGTAAAGGGAAGTGAAGCAGCAGGATATTTTTGGGTAGGATGTTTACAAGAAGGTGAGACAGCATGATGTTCTAAGGTGGAGAAGAAACTCTCCATCCTCTGGGGAAGCCCCATTAAATGGTTTCAGGAAGTCCCTGAAACTGACTAGATTCACGAGGCTCCTCTCTTCTAAGTGTATATAGCAGTAGAGACTCTGAGAGTCACTCTCAGACAAGCCAAGTTGCAAAGACTCTGTGATCAGCCACACAACCTGGGAGAAGGAGAGGCCAGCTAAACTGTCTAGAAGAAACAGAGCAGCCAAGCTGCCTGCAAGAGGCTCAGACCAGCTGAGGCATCTGGAAGGACACTCTCCAGCCTGTTGAAGGCTGTGCAGTGTGGTCCCGAGTCCCAGGTTTGTGAGCTCTCATCCATGCTGGGGTGGGCTCTGGTGATGCAGCCCTGTCTGTGAGTCATCCCTGCTCCTGTAGGTAGCCCCATGC